TCATTTTATAAATTGTATACAGTGTAATTCAAAATAAATGTAAATCAAAAACAAGGACTTTTTCTTTTTCGTCCAATATTTTAAAATTACGTCGTAATTTCTTTTATTTTGAATTTACTAATAAAGGTAAAAGTTATTCGAACTGGCCAAAGTCAGTTTTTGAGATATGAGGAATAAAACTTGGTAATAACATATCGCTGTCCCATTTCAAAACTGAAACATCTCAAAAATTTTAGGATTTGAGATAAGAATGTATTCTTATAGCAAGTAAGGCAAGATATATACAGTTCAACACATATCTCAAAAGATTTTGTTTCTAAATTTTCTTCTACAAAATCTTTTGAGTTATTAGTGTTGAATGATCATGCCCTCCTTGCTACGAATACATTTTTATCTCAAATTTTAATACTTTTGAGATGTTACAGTTTTGAACTGGGACAGCAATATACAAACAATTAAATTCGCTTATTCACCACCCCAGAAGTGGAGTTTGTGGCGCGTTTTCTATTTAACGAGCAGAATTCAAAGAGACAAATTATACCTACCACCGAGTTGCATACTTGGCTTAATAGTAACATATTATGATTAAATATTAGTACAACTAGATAGATGACCTTTAATCCCATTTTTCTAGATGTAAATTTAAAGATTAAATTACACGTATATTATTATGCATACGAACAAAATTTTAGTACAAATTGTGCCTGATCACAGGCATACTAATAAAAAAAGTTGTATTTTAGATGAATACTCTTCTTATACAATAAGTTATAAACAACAAATTGTTAAACAGTTTAAATATCTCTTATATTATATAACAAAAACATCTTTTTGGACAATAAATAAAATAAAGACTCAAAAAAATAACAATATACTAAAATAAAAAGTACTGATGAAAGCACAAAACAGAGGCCAAAAGCTATAAAAATCACGATTTAAAACTGTAGTTTTGTTTAAAATAAAAAATATCTACATCCCAAGAATACCAAACCAAAAAAATAAAAACAACTGTAATTTTCAATATATGTATACATAGAACAAACAGTCTCTATAAAATATCTTGGGATACTGCTTGATAGAGGTGGCCAAATATCGATAGCACTATCAATAGAATTGATAGTTTTATTTTCAAATTCAATATCTATAGTATCGATAGTAACTTTAACTATCGTCACGTTATCGAAGGTCGAGATATGATGGAAAAAGAAGAAAAATATAACCTACAAAATTTATATTTTCATTAAAAATATAAAATGGTAAAACGATAACAATCGTATATTTGAAATTATTTCAAAGGATATGGGATTGGTAATATTTAAATTTAGGAAAGCTGGTTATACTGGGTGTACCAATAAAAACTCCCAGGCCGGATATTTTGGTAAGTAATAGAGATATTTTAATTCTGTAAAAGCAAGTTTACAGAGCACTAAGAGAGCTGTAGTTTTAGATATAAATTGATTTTAAATAGATCAATATGTAAATGGCGCTGTGCTCAATATATTTTTTTTTTTTTCGATGAGAGGACCTTTCTTGTGTAGCGTATCTTGTAAAAAGTGCATTTTTAGGCAGATTTTGTTCTATGAACTAATCCGATAAATCTAGCTATTTTTGATATACAGAGTGGGTCACTCAAAACAGTTTCATCCTGTTTTTCAGCATTAATCATTGGACTTTGAGAAAATGCTAAAACAGGTCGATTTTTATTCCAAATTAAAAACATTTTTACAATACAGACATTGGCACGTCATTGAAAAGGTAATTTAATAAGGGACTTTTATGGGGATTGCGATACTTTTTATTGTCCCGTTCTCTATTGGGATAAAAAACTGTACGTATTATAAAGTGTGACACCTTATTTGAAAGCAAATTTAATTACTAATTCAATGCACCACAACATTAATATAAATATCCTCCATATTGCACTTGCAATAGTTTGACAATTAGTCATGCATCATTTTAAACATTATTGCTAACTTTATTTTGTTGCAAGTGCAATATGAAAATATTTATATTAATGTTATGTGGTGCATTGAATTAGTAATTAAATTAGCTTCATGATACACTTTATAATATGGTACAGGTTTTTTATCCCGATAGAGGGCGCTAAAATTAAAAGTATCGCAATAAACAGTCATATTTCTGATTTCTCCATAAAATTACCTTTTCAATGATGTGCCGTATATGGTACATTTCTTATTTAAAATTAAGGGGTTGGAGAAGTGGAAGGGAGGGGGTTGACACATGACAGATCTCTGTATTGTAAAAATGTGTTCAATTTGGATAAAAAACGACCAGTTAAATTTCCAAGATGTTCGGTTTTGTTCTTAATGGTCCTTTTGAATCTTGAAATAATGAAATTTTTTTTAAAGTTCACTAAATAGCAACCAGATTATTTAAAATTTATTAAAATGCTCTACAGGACTAAACCTACTTTGCCTAGTGAGATTATAATACCTGAAGGACAGAAGAGCCAAAAATGGCAGGTTCGATTCATATCTACACCGACGGTTCTAAAACAAAACAAGGCTCAGGATGTGGAATATACTCCATATTCTTAAACCTAAACATAAAATGGGCTGTGAGCAATAGTGCCAGTGTAGTTCAAACAGAGCTAACGAGGATTCTCATAGCAGCAAAAGAAATAACCAGAAACAATATCACTGGAAGGAACATGCTCATCTATACAGATAGCAGACAAGCACTACTCTCCCTGAACAGACCACGAATTCACTCAAGGTTAGTACTAGAATGTCACGAAGCTTTGGCCGAAGTATCCATCAACAATGTGGTCACCTTAAGATGAATCAAAAGTCACGCCACATCGAAAGGTAACCGTCTTGCAGCCAACCAAATACTTTTTGGACCTGGCCCTTGTATTGGCCTAACAAAATCGGTAGTGACAGACCTAATTAAAGAATATTCCCTTGTGAAATTCAAGGAAAGATGGGATGAAACAAGAAACTGCAGAGTTGCCAGGGAGCTCCTAAGTTATCCTAACAACACTGCAGCAAACAAATACTTGACTATAACTAGACATAATCTCCGCCTAGTCACAGGTATTCTGACTGGTCATTGCCAAGTACGGAAGCATGTCCATATCATGGGGTTGTCAGAATCCGCACTCTGCAGAGGGTGCGAACAAGAAGATGAGACCATCGAGCATATCCTTTACGATTGCTCGACGTTCCCATTTATTAGAAGACTTGTGTTCGGCGAGTATCGGCTAACACCGGCCGATATAAGAGAAGCACCTCTTGGCGACGTTGTAAACTACATTAAATCTGTAGGCTGGCTCACGAGCTAGGAGGTGCCTATCATCTTAGGAGGATGCACAATGGGCCTAATGAGGCCTAAGTGCCGTGGGAGTTACGCACTCTTCACACATTACAGATACAGATACCTGAAGGAAATTTTATAATTATTGTAGAAATAAGTATTTTTCATAATTAATATTATTTGAAATAAATTGTATTGAATCTTTTTATGAAAATAATAAGTGAACAAAATTGTTACTTAATTTTTTTAAAAATCTTTAACATTGTCCTCTAGAATTTGTTGACTATGGTTAACATTTTCTATACTATCAACTATATAATTTAAAAGTAATTTAGATGGATTCTGAATAATTTCTTAATGTTTAGCGGTTTAAAACTGGGGTGGTAAGAAAACTAATTTATTCGTATCTCTCATTACCAAATTTTATACCTAGTATTTTAAACACCAGTCATAGCAAGATGATACTACTTTGACACTTTATTAATAGATTTAAAATATTGGTAATATGAAAAATGTTTGCAATTTAACGGCAAAATTTTAAATTATGTCGGAAAATAAAAAAGAAAGTTTTTCGCATTCTTCTCGTTATATAATCATTTGAATTATACTGTATCAATGCTTTATAAACCACAAATATTTTAAAACAATCAATAAAAATTTAAATTTTATTAAAAACAGCAAACAGAGTCTAACTACTTTTTGGCTTACCCTATATAAAATGTTATAATCCCTAATTTTAATTAATTAAATCGAACCTATTTCTGCGTGAGGTTATTTTAAAAAATATCCCCATGCTAAAATAAAAATAAAAATGCATTCAATAAATTGTGGCTCGCCCTGTAACTAATAATAATGTCATAGGTTATACTATAAATATTCTTTGCTATCAGTAAAGCGTTATTTTTAAAAAATATCTGTAATAAAAATAAAAAGCAGGACCCTTTTTAAAAATGGCCAATTTGCAACTACAACTCCGTGTATAACTAGTCATAGTGCCCATGGACAATATTATTCAGTCGGCTGCCTGGAGTGCCTGATCCTTTAATGTTTTTAAAATATGTGAAAATATATTTCTATAAGATTCTCGCTTAGTATCATCGATAGGTCGCAAAGAATAATCCATGGTGAAGAAGAAATAGTTATTCCAGCTTAATCAAATTGTAAAAAAAATGAGTCCTCATCTTGAAATAAATAAACAATTTGTCATTTAACATAAAAATCTACTGTGCAGACAATTCTACAACACAAATATCTATCTACCGAAAAATCTACTTCTACAAGGTGCAATGAAAGCAAAACATGAATTTCAAAAAGATGAATTTAAGTGAAATATAAGTTAATATGTTAAAAATTGCAGAGGAAGTTCTGTATGCGGTTATGCGAAGAAAACCTTTTTGAAGGTCAAATGCCATCTAACAAATTTAAGCTTTTTATTTTTAGTAATTTGAATTTAATTACTCTTACGAACACACAGTTTTCAAAAAAAATTAAAATTGTCCTTACAAGAAACGTGAAAATATAGTTGAATACTGTTCCTATTAAGGACTATTTCAACTTGCCGAATGGAATGAATATGGGATCAAATTAATAGAAAGTAAAGCCAAATGTACTAAAACTTAAAAAGTTTTCTCACTTTCATATAAAACATTCTCTAGAATTAAGTGTTTAAAAATTCATCTTTTTGATTCTTTGTATGATTATCCGCTCCCAAATTTAAAACAAACCTCCAACGTCTCTACTAGCATCATCTTTTTTATCATCATCGTCGTCTTCCTCGGTATCTTCGTCTGCGTCTTTTGTTTCTTTGGTTACATCCTCATCTTCGTCGTCTTTACCAAAGAAACCACTAAAGCCATCTTTAAACAAATTTGCAAGATCAGAGAAAAGCTTTTCAATGGTACTTGCAATTTGGGAAGGTTTGCTGACTGCAGCAGCGTTTCCAGAGGCACGAGCCACCTGTTCATCTGCTTGAGCTGGAAAAAAACGGATAATTTTAGAAATTAATATAATTTAATCATTTAATTAGTCTTTTATTAACTTTTATAATAATTACAATTATAATATCGAAAAACAAATATAAATAAATCACAACATATAACATATTTCAGAATAAAGGAGGAAAAACCCTATTCCAACCTAAGAGAAATCAAGATAAAAGTACCTCAAGGTAGAGTACTAAGAACCACTCTACTTGCTGTAAATCGTAGATATATTCCTAATCTTGTGCATAATACTATCGCAACATTTGCTGAAGAAACTACAATTGTGGCTGTTGGAAAGAATCACGAAGAAGATATTAAAAAATTGCAAAAATCTATAAACCAGATTACACCTGGTCGAAAAGACAGTGAATTAAATTGAATGAAGACAAGTCTGTCCCTCTCAGTTTCAGCAATAAAACAAATCAATACATTCCCATTAGAATACACGACAAATTATTTGTGCCAATACAGCAAAATATTTAGGTATGACACTTCATGCAGGATTTCGCTGCAAAGCCCATATTAAATATAAAAGTGAAGAGCTTAGTATGAAATACAAAAGAATGTATTGGTTGCTAAACTTCAAATTATACACACAACAAACTTTTCCTTTACAGGCAGATATTGAAACCCGTGTAAACCTATGGGATCCAGCTTTGAGCTGTGGCAGTAAAAGTAACATCCACGTTATTCAACGTTTCCAGAATAAAGTATTAAGGAATATCATCGAAGCACGCTGGTACTGCCGCAACACTGATCTCCGTAGGGACCTTTTAAGGTGGAGACTCTTGAAAAGACAATAGCAAAATTTACTAGTAGCCACGAACAACAAATACTTCAAATTTGACAGTTGAGGTTATCCAGCTCCTCAACAACGCCTTTCCAAGAATACTCCAAAGAACTAAGTCTTTTGAATTAGTTCAATAATGTTAGCTAAAATCAGAGTTTAGTGCTGTAGGTACGTAAGTTATACGTTAACGGTAGTATAACTAAATAATCAGACACACTGTGAGTAGAACCTTACTTTATGAAGTTTTTCAACCGTAGATAAGTTAGGTTAGAATAAAATTATTATTGATCAGATTGTAGAAATCGTAAATTTTGTATGTTAAAAAAAATGTAAAAATATTTAAATTTCAAATTAAAAACTAATTTATCTACAAACACTTGTATTTTTACACCTATTGTGGTAAATAAAAAATGTTTTATACACAATTTTAAACAGTAGATCGGACCTGTCTACAAAATTTAATTTTTTTGTTTTCTAAATTAGACAACTCTGTATTAAAAATTAAAATACCTTATCGAACATCCTATAAAAACTCGACACGTCCTATTGACTCTCAAGTAATAGACTCTCTTCCTGTTAGAAAAAAAAATGCACGGATGCGATGCATAAAGTACATACATGACGTGATTAAAATTATTAAAATGATTGTCGCCAAGCGAATAAGTACTACCTAAAAAAGTTGCACGGTGGTCAAAACATACTTAAAACCTGCTCAAAATTGAAAATTTTAAATAATTTGTTGATTATAAATTTTTTGGAAATTTCAAAATATATTTTTCAAAATTAACCCTATGAAATAATAAAAACTATTTTTGAACGTCCAAAGTGAAAACAAATTTATTAAAAAATTGAAAAAACTTTAAGATTGGAATCTAATATTAAAATTAACAATTTGCACTTCGGACTTATATAATGTCCTGCTAGCTGAGTTAGTAAAGTAGCGTGCGTAGAATGTTGAAGAAGAGGGTTCGAATTCTTTCCATGACAGTTTTTCCAATTTTTTAATAAATTTGTTTTCACTTTGTTGGTCCAAACATAATTTTCTTTATTTCCTATGAGTAATTTTAAATAATTTATTTGCGAATTTCCAAAGAATTTAATAAAAAATTGAAAACTAAGATTGGAATCTAATATTCAAATTAAAAATTCGGGCTTCGGACATGTAATGCCCTGATAGCAGTGAGCGAAGAATGCGGATGTGGAAGGTTCGACTCCCTTCTAAGACAGTTTTTAAATTTGTCAAAAAATGTGTTTCCACTTTGAGAGTCCAAACAATATTATCATTATTTTCTAGGGGTAATTTTGAATAATTTATTTAGGAATTTTCAATGTAAATTTTTAAAGTAAATTTTCAAAGTGAATTTTCTAACTGAACTAAAATTTCGGTTTTAAAAATTAAGTTCTTCATCTAAAATGTTATCCATAAAAACAAAAATAATGAAAAAAATCTGCGAAATGTTCCAAAACATGCTTTGCTTTTCTTTGAAAGAGAGTTTTTGGATATAAATCATATTTCAAAAAATAAACACAGTGAATCGTGGTAAATTAAAATAAATAGAGCACTTAATTTTAATCAAACCAAAAGAGGTAGTAAATTAGGTGTGTTAACTCTTAGTATCAGCCAAAATGATTATTAATTCATTCAAGCCATTTTCTACCAACCCGGTCCTATTTTAATCCCTTAAAGTCCCTCCCCGTCTTATTTGGACCATTTACCATCTCCATTTTCCCGTTACCAAGAATACTCTATGACTGAGAATACTCTGTGACTGAGTAAACCTCCGAAACCCGCTATGATACGCCTATGCTTGTCGAAGTGAATAATTCTAGAAAATACTGAACCGGTGATGAAATATTCAGATACAAGCCCAGAATCGTATCATTTGGCCCATTGAATATTATATTTTTTTATTTTACTTTACATTGTTAAATACAAAAGAAAAATCTATTAAATCGAACTATTTTTATTAAATTTGAGACATGTTTATCAACATTTTTTATTAAAATTAATATTAGAAAATTAGAGATATGCACAGTTGTCTAAAATAAAATTAAAAATATAACATTGAATGGGCCAAATGATATGATTCTCGGCTCGTACATTTTTTCTGGTGTGTACACAATTCTAAAAAATAGTGTATCTAACGATGTATATTCCGACGGATGCCAATATTCTTAGTCTAAGAACGTCTAGAACATTCTAAAAGCCACTGATGTGTATAAATAGGCTGTTTTGCTGTTGAAGTAGTCAATTTTAGTTAGGAGATCGTTCTGTTCAGATAAATATTGTCAATATAAATTAATGCTGTATTTAGAACAAATAAATTAGGTTATAAAATAAATTAATATCCTAATGTAAATTAAATAACAAACTGTTTAAACAAATAAACATTACAATATTATGTCATTAGCAACTGGGGTAATAATGTAGTGCTGAAGATATAGTGAAAGGGACGTAAAGAGATAAAAAAACATCTTTCTGCAACTTTATCAAATACTTTATAGCTGGTTGACTCAATGAGGTTGAATAATAGAATGCATATGTGGAATTGTCTTAAGATTGTTAGGTTAGGTTCTATTTTAGATACCACTTGTAGAAATCGTTATCTACTTGCAATTTCAATATATTTCTGTAATTATTTCAAACAAAATAAATTATTGGCTGTGTATTTTTGGTTCTGATTCTGATAGTTTGTACACAAAAATCCGAATTTTGGCGTAGCCAAATCGTCATTATTTAGGGCAAAGCACGAGATTTTAGAGACGAATATAGTATCGTGTGGAGGGTTGGTTAACCCACGGCGCATAGGTCTCACTAGGTCCATTCTGCATCCTCCTAAATAGATAGGCACTTACTAGGTCGTGAGCCAGCCTACAGATTTAATGAAGTTGACAACGTCGCTAAGGGGTGCTTCTTTTAGATAGACCAGTGTTAGCCAATCCCTACTTAACACAATTATTCTTCTAATAAATGAGAGCATCGGGCAATCTTAGAAGATATGCTCGATGGTTTGATCTTCTTGTTCGCTCCCCCTGCAGAGTGCGGATTCTGACAACTCCATGATATGCAAATGCTTCCGTATTTGTCAGAATGACTGTGATCAGGCACAGATTCCGACTGGTCATTTGTCTAGTATTTTTTTGCTGTAGTGTTGTAAGGATACACAAAAAAAATTATCATCTACATTCAAGAAAAGCTTTACACTTGGAAGATTACATTTGTTTGAAATAAAGCAGAATTTGCTTCAAATAATATTTCTCGATACAATAAGAAAATAAATATTGAGTGAAGTGTAGGCATAATCTTGTATTTTAAGAATATAATAATTAATCTGAGAATAAATTATTTTATTCGAGTCTAGAATTCTTAATTAATCCAAGGAAGCTCTTACGTTTATTGTAATTGTGATATGCTCTTAAAACCGACTATCGCTTACTTGATTCAATGTTATAAAAGGATTTGTTTCAAAGCATTCAAATTTCAGAATGAGAATTAAACAATTCGAATCAAAAACCTATGTACTTCACAAAAGATTAGCGAGTACAAATTCACTGCACGGTGTTACCAGCTGAAACGTATTTTAAAATGCAACCACTGCACTTGTACGGTAGATATATGATTGGTTCATGTTGAGATGTGATACTTATTATTCGGAAGTCAGAGACACAACGCGTTCTACTTTTTGTTAGACATTTTTTGTAATTCAATTATTAATTAGTGTATGAATAAATTAAATTGAAATGGAAGATTTGTTAGATGCATGGAACCTCTGCGACCTGATAGCAATATTTAAATGCAAGTATATTTAGTTCACTTCTTGTTAGGTATTATATTAAATATAAGTAAATTTATAATCATAAGAACACAAAACAAAGTGGAATAGAAGTAAAAAAAATGTACGATACTGGATGACGACTTTTTGAAAAGACGACTTCTGCCTTGCTAAGACAAGAGGTCGTATCTACGAAAATTCCGATTTCAAGATTCTTACAAATTTAATAAGCTTACATTTTACTTTTTATGACACAAAATAATAAAAGCCTATTTGCATTAGAAAATATTTATTATAATTATAAGAAAAGGTTAGTAAAATATGTAAAACTTATTTGCGAAGTCTAAAAGGACGTAATTATATACCTACCCACATTTACTAAAAATATTCATTTTGCAGATACCACCTCTTAGCAGGTCAAACTTTCA